GTACCTTAAAATTCGAACTTCATTCCTACTTTCGTATCAAACAGCCAAGTAGAGATTGAATTCTTCGAATGTAACATTTTTCATGAAATTTAAATCAATCAAACGGACCTTATATTTTAAACCAAATTGAATTAGCCCTTGTTCGACGCATTAAATTTATAATACATTTTTTTCTCGCCCGTTTTTTTAATCATACTTCCCTCAATAAAATAATATTATATATAAATCAGTCTTTTTTCCTTTTTTTTTTTTCCCAACAACACATTCTTCAAATTGTTACTGTTCCAAAAATTATAACATAAAATCTACTGTTTCCTCGTCTCTGCTTGTCAATTTACCATTCCAATTTTTTTTTCTTTAGCCGGACAGTTCTTCCGGCGAAGCGCCTCCAGCTCAGCCTATGCTGGTGTTAGAGGAACTGGATAAAGATGTTTTGTGCCAGAGATGTATGCAGATCATTAAGGACGCCATTTTGACGGCATGTGGGCATAGTTTCTGCTATATATGCATCGTTACTCATCTTCATAACAAGAGCGATTGTCCTTGTTGTTCTCACCATCTCACCACCAATCATCTTTACCCTAACTTCCTCCTCGACAAGGTTCACTTTCTTGTTATTTTGTCTCTATATGTTGCATTTTCCATTGTTTTCTTGTCAATTGACAATTTCGACGGGACTACATTTGTTAGTTATCTATTTATCAAGTATAGAAACATTACATTATCTATACGTTTTTCGAAGTTGGTAGCATGTCAATGGTTTTATAGAAATTTACTGATTAATTGAGATATTTCTTCGTGTTTGTCTATAAATGAGAATCAAAAATTAAGAGCCAGTGTGTATGTGTGGGCGGGGCTTGTGACTGTGAATGTGTAAGAATCAGTACTATCCAGAATTTCAAAATTGGCTGGAATATAGTTTTTCGTTACTTTTACTATTAAAGAAATCAAACTTACTTGCTTTCCCAATTATTTGAATTTTATTTCGAAATAGACTTATAATTTTTCTTGCATGTCGTTAGTGGATGATATATGAACCAGAATTGAATATTAATTCTTGCAAATTGGGGAACCATTTCTTAAATTGTGTTGAGGAAGTGGAGAAAAGATAACT